CTACTTTAAATATAGATCCATAAATTTTGCAGACTATAAAACTTTGTTTGGTGGACTATTACGATTGCAAGAATGTGATGCTGTTTCAATAGTGGCTGCAATCAAAGAGTTTTATAAAAAACACCAACTTGATCTAATGAAAATGGTGATGTTCACATCTGATGGTGCCTCTGTGATGTTGGGCAAACCCAATGGCATGGCGGCTCAGCTGAAACGTGATATTCCTCACCTAGTCCAGCAACATTGCGTTGCACACCGGGAAGACTTGGGGATTTCCGATGCATGGAAAGAGGTCAAGCTGATAAGAGACATCGAAACCTTAATGAGAACTGTCTACATGGAGTTCTGTCAGTCATCCAGGAGAAAATGCAAATTTCAGGAAACAGTGGATGCTTCTGAATGTGAGTCAGTGGCTTTCAGGCCACTCAGTGAAGTGCGCTGGTTATCTAGGCACTTTGCACTTCGAGCAATTATTCGCAACTATAATCCTCTTCTGGAATATTTTGAGCAAGACAAAGATACTGATCCAGTTTCTAAATATTGCCACAAAAAGCTGAATACCATGGAATGCCGAATAACATTAAAAGTTTTGAATGATGTTTTATCGGAGCTGGCTTCACTATCCACACTGCTCCAGAAACGGGGCCTTACACTTCTTGAAGCATTTCACCTTACCCAAGGTAAACTGAACAAAATCAGAAGACAGTACCTTGGAGATTCAGTCTTATGGAGTGACAAAGTTAAGGCTCTCTTAGATATGAGCATGCAATAATGAAATTGATACCAATTCCATAATAACTTTCACAAACATCTTGTGTGCACATTTGGCAGACAGGTTTCCAGAGGATGAAGTCCAGGTGTGGTCCGCTTTTGATTGTGCAGTAATAGTTAAGTGCAATTTCAATTTTGGAATTCATCAGGTCAAATCCCTATGTTCAAAATACAAAGACTTTCTTGCTGAAGAGATTGTTATAGTCAATCAGTACAATGACGTCAAGTTTGCAGTAGCCGAAAGAATCAAAAGCCAATAGGTTTTAAGTTTCCCGGATATGGTGACATTTGCTCACCAGAACGAACAGTTTTAGGATCTTGCAAAGTTGATGGATATTGGAGGAACATTCCTAGCATCAAGTGCAGACTGTGAGCGTGGCTTTAGCTTAATGAATACTCTAAAAAACAAACTACGGAATCGTTTAAGAGTAGATCATTTGGACATGCTGATGCGTATTAAGAGTTACCAGCTGATTGGAGGACTGATAGATCTGGACAGAGTTTATATTGAATGGGCAAATAAAAAAGATTGCAGGGAAAAACAGTAAGGTTAGTTTAGCAGTCTTTGACATTTTGACCAATAAGGAAATTAAAACGCATTTGTAAATACATATCTTATTCTTGGCTGATAATCATTTATTGATATGTTTTAGGAAAATTTTAAATTTAAAACACAAACTCTTGTTTTTCTTTTTTTACTTATGATGTCTCTATCTGAAAACCCATATAAATTGACATAATGGCATACTTATTAAATTGTCTTTATTATATGTTTATCAAAATCTTTTCGGACATTTGTATAGAATGAAAGGTGAAAGTGGACACCAACGGGTAGAAGCCTATGGACTGATAAAGATCATGATTAATATGTGCTTGATATATGCTCGTGATTGTCTATAAAAAAAGATCATAAAGCGTAATACTTAAAACTAACTTCTGCTTCATGAAGAATGGTTAAATTTCCTTTTTCTAAGTATTTAAAAATGACATTTATAAAATAACATAGTGTAAAACTATTATCACAAATTGAAAATTAAAACGTTTTAAATGTATAAGCATTTTACTCGCTTGGGCACATTTGCCTGTTGGCCACAAATTTGAACTCTGCTTCAACAATTTGCACAGAAGAAATTTTTTGCGCACACAGCCTATCAAAAATCAGAGGGAACATTGCGCCAGCGGACTTCCCTGATGGGCTGCGTGCCAAAGGTTGCCAATCCCTGTAGTAATGGATCAATACCATTGTTAGGATTAATTGATGGGGCAGAAATGTCAAGGGGAGACAGGATAGGAGACAAGGTCTATAATGTAGGCAGGGACACAGCTCTAGATTAAGTCACTGAAAGGCAGGACTAGAAGTTTAAGCTATATAGAGTGTGTAAAGAGGTTCATAGAAAGAAGTTTTCCTATGACTCTGGGCTTTCGTGCAACTCTGTTGGTTTGCTTTCAAATAATGCAATATTCGGTTTTGAATGATTTCATATGAAATTAGCATCAATTTGTTGGTTTCATTTGGAAGTCATTTTGAGTTTGTTCAAACCTGATGCTGGACTACACACACTACGCACTGGTTTAACTAAGTGTGACGTACCAATTTAGCTAAACAGGTGCAACTTTGTGTGTGAAGAAACCCTCAAAGTGAAACAACAATTAAGAGATGACTTGATCATAGTCTGGAAAGTACCTACATGTAGAAGAGATTTCTGATAGTAGACTGTTCTTTAATCAAGCAGAAAAAAAAGTATTAACGAAATCCAGTGCACAGAAGCTATACCAATTCAGGCAAGAAATAAGGCACACATTTTTAACACAGAGTATTTAACCCCTGGAACAACTTACCTAAGGACAAGGTGGATTCTCTATCACTTAAACCTAGACTAGTTATTTTTCTAACAGATAAGCTATAGCTCAAACCGAAGTTATGGGCTTGATGCACAAATTACTGGGTAAGGTTGTAGAGTAGCAGCCGTGTGAGTCTGTATCCGCAAAAAGAAAAGGAGTACTTGTGGCACCTTAGAGACTAACAAATTTATTTGAGCATAAGCTTTCGTGAGCTACAGCTCACTTCATTGGATGCATCCGATGAAGTGAGCTGTAGCTCATGAAAGCTTATGCTCAAATAAATTGGTTAGTCTCTAAGATGCCACAAGTACTCCTTTTCTTTTTGGGTAAGGTTGTATGGCCTTATGCAAATAGTCAGACTGGTTTATCATAATGGTCCTGTCTCATCTTAAAAAACTACTAAGTTGGAGAAGAATATATAAACCCTTGCAAACAAAACTAAGTTTGACACAGCTGTAGCAACAAGACCTCTTTATCTATATCTAATTCTAGCACTCTTCTTCAATCATGTTATAAATTTGCACTGAAAGCCAAATGCTTTCAATGTCTTTCACTCTAAATTTTCTCTCTTCATCTTTTGTGCCTAGTACAATATGGGACACAAATCAATGTAAAGTGTGAACCAGATTCTATTTGGCTTTAATAATTGCTAAATATCAGAACCACTATGCTCTGTGTATAGCAGAAATAGATTTATACCCACATTATGGTGACCAGATGTCCTGATTTTATAGGGACAGTCCCAATATTTGGGGCTTTTTCTTATAAAGGCCCCCGACCCCCGTCCTGATTTTTCACACTTGCTATCTGGTCACCCTAACCCACATAGATTCATATTATTAACTGCCCAGGACAAAGCATCTGCTTTGCATGTTAAATAAAAAAGTAACTTTTTCATAAATGTGTACTTTGAAAAGAATATTACAATTAGGGACAAATAAAGACTACTGAACAAAAACTACTGGTATTACACAACATTATACTTGCTTTTGTTTTGTAACCAAGAATCCTCTCTCTGCCCCTCCTCCCCCCAATCTTGGACTCAACTTCAAAAAAAATTCCTTCCTGTTAATTATTATACATTATTTCTACATGTCCTTTTAAAAAAGCACATTTTAGTACAGTAACATCCCTGCTATAGTCAAACTATATTTTAAGCCCCTGCCCAAATGTTATTAAAGTGAAGATATATATATTTATGTATATATGTGTACACACACATAGATAAGAATATAATACTCTGCATGTCTATCCCTCCTTCCATGCAAGGATATCAAAACACTGTACAAAGAGTTGTGATATGTTGTGCTATTTTCTGACAGCCGCACACTTTGTTTCATCCAAAAACAGCACTGCTGACCACAAGTGGTAAAAAAAAATAAATCGTGAGACTGGCTTAAAAATCATGGGATTTTACAACAGCAATCGACTCGGGCTTGTTTCTATTGGTCTTCCAGCCGCGGTAGGTGCACTCAGTCCAGGTGTTCTGATTCCACCACAACCAGGAGAGCTAGAAACGTTCATCACATCGAAGCAGGCTCAAGTGCTGAGCCAACACGGGCTTGCTGGGGCTCTGAGAACAACCCCCGCGGTCAGAAATCTGGCAGCATTACAGCCCCCAGGGGAAGTGTATCCAGGATCCCTTTGTCACACTGTTCTGCCCCCCTGACACCAACCACCCCCAGCCCTCTAGAGGGTGAGGAGCCCCGGTGGGTCGGCCTATATTCCACCCTGGTCCTGAGGCCCGCCAGGGATATCAGTTGGCGGCTCCTTCACAGGGCAGCGAGCACGGGCGTGTACTTGGCACAGTTCACCCCAATCCCGGACACCTGCCCCTTTTGCGGTGTGAGGGACACCCTGGCGCAAGTATACCTGGAGTGCGCGGGGCTGCAGCCCCTATTCCGGCTCCTCACAAATATTTTGTTAAGATTTTGGTTGCACTTTTCCCCTCACCTCCTTACCTATGCACTCCCTGTCTGTGGCCCCACTAAGTCAAGGGACCTCCTGGTCAACCTCTTCCTGGCCCTGGCTAAACATCTATAAAACCAGAGTGAGGAGGTTGGCCGATGGAGTCTCCTGTGACGGTGGGGCCTATTTCAGATCCTCCGTCCGTTCACGCCGCCGGGCAGAGTTCCTCTGGGCGGCGTCCACTGACTCCCTTGACACCTTCGAGGAGCAGTGGGCGCTGTCCGGGGTTCTCTGCTCGGCGTCCCCGTCCGGATCCCTTCGTTTGACCCTTTGACCGCACTCCTGTCCCCGTTGTTCATTACTTGTCCCCCGGAATTATTTGGTTTTCCAGGTCCTGTGGACCCCCTCCCCTCCCTTAGGCTGGGGGGATCCTTTAGCACTTCCTGGATCCCAAGAAGACCAACCACCCCCAGCCACACCTTACAGCCCAGGGCCTGGCATCGCCTCTCGCAGCGCTGCAGCGGCATGGGCTGGGCGCCCCGGCCTCTCCTCAGGTGGAGTCGGGCGAGGTCAGGGGCGGGGGCGGTGGGGGAGGGGCTCCTCTCCGCCCAGCAGCAGCAGCCGCCACCGCCGCCGCAGCCCCTCACATGCCTCCCAGGCGTCCCTGGAGACGGGCCCTCGCAACCCCCAGGGGAGCCTCGTTCTGGCAGCGGGCTCAGACGCCAGCCCCCGCGGCGAGAGAGAAAGAGCGCGCGAATGCGCGTCCCCGCCTTCTATTCCTCCAGGGCTGGTGGGAGGGAGAGAGGGAGGCCGGCGCGCTCCCGCCAGGGGTTCAGCTGCGGGGCGGCGCGCGCGCGCGCCTTGGCTTGGGCGTGGGCTGGGGTTGGGGCTGGTGTCTAGGCGGGGTGCAGCTCAGCTGCAAGGTGCTAGTGGCCAAGGTGGGGCGGCAAATAGGAGGCGGCGCTGGACCCCTGTGCAGCAGCATTGCACTGCAGGAGTGGTGAAGATTATTAATATGACACACTCGTAATTAGCACGGGCTCCTCTCGTTTCATTCGTTAGTGCAGTTATAGTCTTTCCTAGTCAGCATTTCCATAGTTATTGGTGTCTCTGAATAGTTATGGATGATGCTAGAATAGTCCTTATCACTACTGCTATAGGGTTAGCTTTATCATTATTAGTGATAAGTAATTATTGATGAGCTTATTATTGCTGTTACCTTTTTGTTTTACTTCCTTCATTACCATCTGCAGTTATTTATCAGCTGTGGTGTTACCATAGTCCTTATGATGTATGTTTCTCATTGCTATTTATTATTGTGATTTATTACTGGCATGTTACTTGTATTAGATTTTTCTGTACTGACTGATGATTTTTTAATAATCTTTATTGCTGTTTAATATTGTTCTTTGTTGATGAGGGGACTTATTGAGCGTGCTGCTTGCTAGTTAATGACTCAGGAGTACTTACCCTTTTTCTCATCCTTTCCTTTCAGCGCAGGATTCCAATGCCTGTTTGTGTGCCTAGGAACGAAAACCACTGGCTGAACGGCAGCAGTACCAGTTAAAAAGAAAACAAAGCAAACAGTGAGTTTTGAAACCATTATCTCCTGTCACATTCATCTTATGTTTGTTGCTCTGGATGTTGTGTCTGGTTTTCCCCATGTTTCTTGTTGTGTGTTAAGTTATCAGCCTTAAGACAATTGACAAAATAGTTTTTGTCTGTGTGTAGTCTGGAAAGGTGTAGAGTAAAAGGGAATTCACCTTAGCAGTGATTTAAAAAAAAAATCAAAGAAACTTCAAATTTAGCTTAGTTGTATTCGTTTAACCTTGACTCATTATCTACTGGACATAGCGTTACCAATTGTATTTAATAACAGTGCAGGTTTCTTAGTGGATTTTATTTCCAAATTGACTCAAGCTCCCTTCAGATAACATTAGATTTCAGCAGGGTCACCAATACTGCAGTCCTGATTCAAGCAAAACTCCTATTGATTGATTGCACTAGAAATGTTGCCTGAGAAAAGACTACACTGGGTCCATTCCAGACTATTTATAAAGGGGAAGGAGTGAGAGAGAAAGCAGAGATGGAGTTGCTTTTCATATCTCTGTTAGGTGAAAACATTAAGTTCAGTGACATGTTTAGGAGTAGCAGGAAGATAGTATCTTTGTTGTGTGAATAGTGATGGCTCTTGTTTTTTGTTTCAGTGATTCAACTAATCGTAGTTTTTTAAAGGGGCACATTAGAGCAAACCTCTTTATATTTGTAATTGTTTTCATAAACCCTGAAGGTCATTTTCTCAAACTCGGGGGTGGGCAAACTTTTTGGCCCGAGGGCCTCATCTAGGTGAGGAAATTGCATACAGAGCCATGAATGTAGGGCTGGGGCAGGTGGTTGGGGTGTGGGAGAGAGTGTGGGGTTTGGGAGGGGGTGTGGTGTGCAGAAAGGGGCTCAGGGCAATGGGTTGGGGCGGAGGAGGAGTGCGGTGTGTATGAGGGGCCTCGGGGCAGGGGTCTGGGGCGCAGGAGGCGGTGCGGAGTGTGGGAGGTGGCTCAGGGCGGGGATGCGGAGTGTGGGAGGTGGCTCATGGCGGGGGGTTGAGGTGTAGGGGCGGTGTGGCAGGAGGCTCAGGGCAGGGGGTTGGGGTGCAGGAGTACTTAGCTTGAGCGGCTCCAGGGTGGTAATGGCACTCAGCGGGGCTAAGGCAGGCTCCCTGCCTGCCCTGGATCTGCACCACTCCCGAAAGTGGCTGGCACCATGTCCCTGCAGCCCCTGGGGGAGGAGGGGCAGAGGGCTCTGTGTGCTGCCCCTCCCTCCCCCAGGGGCTGCAGGGACATGGTGCTGGCTGCTTCTGGGAGTGGCGCGGGGCCCACGGCGCCACGGGTGGCAATCCCCCAGGCCAGATCCAAAGCCCTGATGGGCCGGATCCGGCCCATGGGCCATAGTTTGCCCACCCCTGCTCTAACTTAGTATGGAAATAAAGAAAGTGTTTTGCATGTTGCTGATTTTAATATGTTGTTTGTCCTTTATCTGCAAGGTTAATGTTTTTCAACTGTACTGTCATCAAAGCAATTGTTCTGTCTTGTGCTTTTTTTAACGTACAAATTCAGCTACATGGAAGATTACAGATCGGGAATGGGAGGAGGGGAGATTTTGGTTTGCTTTTGTATAAAAAAAAAAGGATATTGAATGTAAGGTAAATAATAGAAAATTGAAGGGGGGTAATTTGCTAAATTACATCAGTATGTTCAGATTTTTCCATATAAATATCACTCCTTAATCAATAACAACGTGATATTTGGTCTACAACTCATATACTTCTGAATGTTATGTCTAAGATGTGTTCTCACAGTAATGTAATGTGAAATGATGAACTCTAGATTAGTCTGTAAATTCTTTTGGGCAGGCACCACATCCGCTACTAAATTTGTACAGCATGTAGCATAACAGGACCCGCATCCTGATTAAGACTTTTAAAGAAATCCTCTTGTTTAAACAGATCTCAAGAAAACTGTAGTGCTGAAACTAATTCACATTTTCACATTGTCCACAGTGACGTATTTGGTTGGGTTCCTTGTCTTTGACTCTGAATGGGCAATTTTGTGACTCGTGTATAGTGAAATCATACAAACCCATACTGAAATTAATACTTCTTCCTCATGTAAGCAATGCCATTGAGCTCAATAAAACCAACAGTCTGAGTAAGGACTGCACATGAGAAGAAGTGTTTGAAGCATTGAGCATTATATAGTTGTAGGAAAGGTAGATTATTGTATTTAAATATTAAACAGTATTAGCCTTCCAACTCTTTAGGAAGTCAAAACCAAATAGTAGGCCTGATCCTTCATTACTTGCGTATGGAATGCAGGGTTGGGCTCCAAATTTTAAGGCCCTGATTTTGCAAACCTTACGGGTATGTCTACCCTGGAGCTGGATTTCCAGCCTGAGTAGACATACCCGCACTAACTAGGTCTGATTGAGACCGCACACTAAAAATAGAATAGCTGCAAGTGGTTGGATGGGTTCCCTCTGATGCCATCCAAGACCATAAGTACATACTCAGGTAGCTAGCCCCTTCTGCCACTCATGCTGCCTTGGCCACGCTTCTCTGTGTAGCATGCTAGCTGAATCAGATCTAGCGTGGGTATGTCTACATGAGCTGGAAATTACTCCTCCAGATCCAGTGTAGACCTACCATTTAGGATGAAATTTTGGCCCCATTGACATCACTGGTAAAATTCCCATTAGCTTCCAAAGGGCAAGGATTTCACCCTTAGTGTTTGTGAGTAAAGTTAAGCTTCTGCCTAAGTGTTTGTAGGATCAGGGCTTATGTTTTGCATTTCAGCATATAAAGCAGGGATAAGAGCTCTCTTAAAAAACCCAAACTTGCTGAGTTTGAAGTTAGTAGACTGTACTGTAATTGTGACACACGGATACAATACTGTAAACACATTTGTTAAAATCCACAAATTCATGACATCATCATGAGCCTGCTTGGGGATTTTAATTCCCTAAATTCTTCGATATTCGGCACAAGGAAGAAATCTGCTGCTGCTTCTTCAATATTGTGCTTGTAGGGGCAAATCCAGCTCCCTCCTCTCTAGCCACAGAAGTCCCCTAAGCAATGAAACTGGTGCAATTCTGCTGTGGAAAATGGAAAAGCTGGGGGCACTACAGCCGGTGCACGCTCCAAGAGGCAGTGGAAGTGGCTGGGCTGTCATCGAGGGGTCACAGAGTAGCTCTGCACGCTGTACTCGAGGATTCCCCTCCTGTTTATCGTCTTGTTCAGTTTCTCATGCTGGGCACTGGGATTTGGGTTTGATTCTTAATGTTTGAAGAACATGAATTTCTTCCACAATAATATTAGTGGGTGGAGTACAAGTTGTTAATACATTTGATTGCTCTTTTGGAATATAACAACTTCTGTTTTTAATGATTACCTGTTGTGATCCTTCTTATACATTTTTTAAAAATTGCTTTATTTTTAATGATATGTAACAACTTTCCCTAAATATGATTAATTTTATCCCTAGCTTTACATTGCTTTGCTTTTGTTCCTTTTAGTGACTGAAGCTTTAATACAGTATTTAATCTTTCTTTCCTGTTGTGATATATTATTGCCAGAGTACGCTTTGAAGGTATGTCCTTGACAAAAACAATGAGGAGTCCGGTGGCACCTTAAAGACTAACAGTTTTATTTGGGCATAAGTTTTCATGGCATGTCTCTGAAGAATGGGTTTTTTACCCACAAAAGCTTATGCCCAAATAAAACTGTTAGTCTTTAAGGTGCCACCGGACTCCTCATTGTCTTTGTGGATACAGACTAACATGGCTAACCCTCTGATACTTGTCCTTGACAATTACTGTTTTAAAAAATAGTTAAGTAGATGTTTCTGTATTTTTCTGTCATTTCTTACTGTAAAGGCAAATGCCATAATAAGATTATCCTGTTTCATTTTGTCCTCTAAGGCCCTGATCCTGCAAGCACTTAATTGACTTTAATGAGACTAGAGAGATAAGGTGGGTGAGGTAATATCTTTTATTGGCCCAACTTCTGTTGGTGAGAGAGAAGAGCTTTTGAGTCACATAGAGCTCTTCTCAGGTCTGCGAAAAGTACTTTGAGCTCTGTGAGGCTTGAAAGCTTGTCTCTTTCACCAACAGAAGTTGGTCCAATAAAAGATATTACCTCACCCACCTTGTCTCTTTAATATCTCGGGACTGACACAGCTACCACAACACTGCATACATTTAGTGGGACTACTCATAGTCATTGCTATTACATTCTAGTTTTATACCAGT